TGCTGCTGCTGCTGCTGCTGCTGCTGCGAGCTGCCTTGCTGCAGCAGCGCTGCTGCCTGGGCACTTATTGCTCTGTTGTGCGCCTGCAGCCGCTGCTGCTCGAGCTGCAGCAGCAGTATCCGCTGCTGCCGCAGTGCGCGCTGCGCCTCTTGCTGCTGCTGCTGCTGCATTAGTTGCTGCTGCTGCTGCCGATGCTGCAGCAGCGGCTGCTGCGGCTGCTGCTGCACCTGCTGCTGCTGCTGCGGAGGAAGCAGCAGCTGGCCCAGTGGGTGCTGCTGTGGCAGCAGAGATACAGGCGCCCTTGACAGCTCGATTTGCTGCTGTTGCTGGTAAATGGCATGCTGCTGCTGCTGCTGCTGCTGCTGCTGCTGCTGCAGCTGCTGCTTCTGTTGCTCCTTCTGTGAGACGGCTGAGAAGGCCACGGGCTGCTGCTGGCTGAGGTAAACTTGGAGCGTGCGCTGCTGCTGCTGCAGCTGCTGCAGCTGCTGCTGCAGGCTCTGCAGCTCATCTTCAGTTGCTCCAGGGGTGCTGCCTTGCTGCTGCTGCTGCTGCTGCGGCTGTTGCTGTTGCAGTGGTTGCTGCAGCACTGGCAGCAGCTGCTGCTGCCCCGCAGCTACCCGCGGCTGCAGCGAGGGACGCACTGCAAAGTGGATGAGCTGAGGCTCAAGGTGCTGCTGCTGCTGCTGCTGCTGCTGCTGTAGTTGTTGCTGCTGCTGTGGCTGCTGCTGCAGTGGCGGCTGCTGTATTTGCCCCTGTAGTAGCTGCTGCTGCCGTAACTGCTGCAGTGGCTGCTGCTGCAGTGGCTGCTGCTGCAGTGGCTGCTGCTGCAGTGGCTGCTGCTGCAGTGGCTGCTGCTGCAGTGGCTGCTGCTGAAGTGGCTGCTGCTGCAGTGGCTGCTGCTGCAGTGGATGCTGCTGCAGTGGCTGCTGCTGCAGTGGCTGCTGCTGCTGTGGCTGTTGCTGCTGCAGTGGCTGCTGCTGCAGTGGCTGCTGCTGAAGTGACTGCTGCTGCAGTAGCTGCTGCTGCAGTGGCTGCTGCTGAAGCAGTCTTTGCCCTGACAAAGCTTCCTGAGGCATTTGTGCTGCTGTGTCTGACTGCAGCAGGGATATAGGGCTCGTAGAGTAGACCTGCTGCAGTGGTTGCTGCTGCTGCAGTGGCTGCTGCAGCGTTTGCTGCTGCTGCTGTGGCTGCTGCTGCTGCTTCTGCTGCAGCTGGCACTGCTGGGCGTATCCCTCCTGCTGCCCTTTCTGGGCGCGCAGACGCAGATTCTGTTGTTGCTGCTGCTGCTGCAGTGTCTGCTGCTGCTGCTGCTGCAGTGGCTGCTGCAGCGGCTGCTGCAGCGGCTGCTGCTGCGGCTGCGGCGGCTGAAGGAGGTAAGCATAAGCAGCAGCAGGCTCATCACTCATCGCCAAGTAGCGCAGCAGCAGCCGCTGCATGCCCGGCTGCAGCTCTGGCATCTCCATGTTGCTGCTGCCGCTGCTGCTGCTGCTGCTGCTGCTGCTGCTGCTGCTGCTGCTGCTGCTGAGCGCATGCACTAACGCCATGGTGTGAAAGGTGGCGACGAGTCCGGCAGCAGCACCCGCTGCCGTACAGTACTTTGTGGCAGCAGCAGCAAAAGCCGCAGCAGCAGCAGCAGAAGCAGCAGCAGCAGCAGCAGCAGCAGAACAGGCAGCCCACCTCGGGCTGGGACCGCCTTGCCTTTCACATTGCAGTGTTGCTCTCTTTCATTTGCATGGATCTGCTGCTAAGCTAAGTTATATTAATTTAAAAAAGATATATTTTCAAATTATAATTACTATTAAAGCATTTACTTTGACCTGAGTAGCAGCTGCTGCTGCAGTGTCTTTGCTGCTGCTGCGAAGTCCCGCATGCGCAGCTCTGTCGGCAGCAGTCGTAGCAGCAGCAGCAGGAGTACTGCAGCAGCAGCAACAGCAGCAGCAGCAGCAGCAGCAGGGGTCTTCAAGATAAAAGCGAATTCTAGTCCGCTAAAGACAAGCCCACCGTGGGGCCCCTGGGTGGGCCAGCACTAGGACAAGCCGCAGGTTGCTGCTGCTGCTGCTGCTGCTGCTGCTGCTGCTGCTGCTGCTGCAGGTTGTGTTACCTGTGTGGTACTGCAGTGGCCGCTGTTGCTGCTGCAGCACAACGAGCAGGCGCATCAGCAACTAGCGCCGCAGCAGCAGCAGGAGCTGCAGCAGCTCCTAGCCGCTGCTGCTGCCATGCAGGGCTCCAGCGACTCCCCCAGCAGCTCTCCAACAGCAGCAGCAGCAGCAGCAACAGCAGCAGCAGGAGCAGCTAGTCCCGACAGGGCGGATCCCGGGGCAGCAGCAGCGCCTTCAGCTTCGAGCCCAACTGACCAAGGAGCAGCAGCAGCGCAAACAGCAGCAGCAGCAGCAGCAGCAGCAGCAGCAGCAGGTGGCAGACTGCCGCTCTCCCCCGGCGACTCCGACGCGTCCCCAAAAGCAGCAGCAGCAGCAGCGCAAACAGCAGCAGCAGCAGCAGC